AGGAGAATTCTACAAAGCATTTAAGGAAAAGTTAATCCCTATCCTTCTCAGACTATTCAAAAAAATCCAGAATGATGGAAGACTCCCAAACTCTTTTTATGAAGCCAGCATCATCCTAATCCCAAAACCAGATAAAGACACAGCAAAGAAAGAAAACTTCAGGGTAATATTGCTGATGAACATAGATGCTAAAATCCTCAACAAAATATTGGCAAACTGCATCCAACAATACATTAGAAAGATCATACACCATGACCAAGTGGGATTAATCCCATGTATGCAAGAATGGTTCAATATCCGCAAATCAGTAAATGTAATACAGTACACAAATAAAAGCAAAGACAAAAGTCACATGATCCTATCAATGGATGTGGAAAAAGCATTTGATAAGCTACAGCACCCATTTTTGATAAAAACACTCAGCAAAGTGGGAATAGAGGGAGTATTCCTCAACATAATAAAGGCCATATATGAGAATCCTACAGCCAACATCCTACTCAATGGGCAAAAACTAAAATCTTTTCCACTACGATCGGGAACAAGACAAGGTTGTCCACTTTCACCACTTTTATTCAATATAGTATTGGAAGTTTTAGCCAAAGTAATCAGACAAGAAAAGGAAATAAAAGGCGTCCAAATCAGAAAGGAGGAAACAAAACTGTCATTGTTTGCAGATGACATGATAGTGTACATAGAAAATCCTATAGACTCTGCCAAAAAACTGCTTGACCTAATAAACAAATTTGGCAAAACTACGGGATACAAAGTCAATATCCAGAAATCAAAGGCATTTTTGTATACCAACAATGAGACAGCAGAAACAAATCAGGAAAAAATCCCATTTGATATAGCAGAAAGAAAAATAAAATACCTACTAATAAATCTAACCAAGGAAGTAAAAGACCTGTATATAGAAAACTATACAACACTGAAGAAAGAAGTTAAGGAAGACACAAACAAATGGAAACATATACCATGTTCATGGATTGGAAGAATTAACATCATCAAAATGTCCATACTACCCAAAGCAATTTACACATTCAATGCAATACCTATTAAAGTACCAATGGCATATTTCACAGACATAGAACAAACACTTCAAAAATTTATACGGAACCATAAATGACTGCAAATAGCTGCTGCAATTTTGGGAAAGAAAAGCAAAGTAGGAGGGATCACAATACCTGATACCAAACTGTATTACAAGGTCACGGTAATCAAAAGAGCTTGGTACTGGCATAAAAACAGGCACACGGACCAATGGAACAGAACAGAGAGCCCTGAAATAAACCCAAGTCTCTATGGTCAATTAATACTTGACAAAGGGGGCAGCAACATAAAATGGAGTAAAAACAGCCTCTTCAACAAATGGTGATGAGAAAACTGGACAGATACGTGCAAAAAACTGAAACTCAAGCACCAACTTACACCACACACAAAAATAAATTCAAAGTGGATAAAAGACTTAAATATAAGCCATGTCACCATTAAAGTCCTAGAGGAAAACATAGGCTGGAAAATCTCAGATATTTCATGCAGCAACATTTTTAGTGATATGTCCGCTGGAGCAAGGGACATAAAGGAAAGAATAAACAAATGGGATCTCATCAAAATAAAAAGCACCTGCACGGCTAAAGAAAACAGTATCAAAATAAAAACAGAACCAACTGATGGGAAAACCTATGTGCCAATGATACCTCAGACAAGGGTTTAATCTCCAAAATATATAAAGAAGTTACACGACTACACTCTAAGTCAAGGATTCCAATTAAAAAATGGGCAAAGAACTTGAACAGACACTTCTCCAAGGAGGACATACAGAAAATCCAAAGACACATGAAACGATGTTCAATATCGCTAGCTATCAGAGAGATGCAAATTAAAACCACAGTGAGATACCACTTCACACCAGTCAGAAAGGCCATCATAAACAAAGCAACAAACAACAAGTGTTGGAGAGGCTGTGGAGAAAAGGGGACCCAAGTGCACTGTTGGTGGGACTGCAGACTGGTACAACCACTATGGAAAGCAGTATGGAACTTCCTCAAAAAACTGAAAATGGATCTGCCTTTTGACCAGGCAATTCCACTGCTGGGACTATATCCTAAGAACACTAAAACACCAATACAAAAGAACCTTTGCACCCCAATGTTCATAGCAGCACAATTTATAATAGCTAGGTGCTGGAAGCAACCTAGATGCCCAGCAGGAAATGAATGGATCAAAAAACTATGGTACATTTCCACAATGGAATTCTATGCAGCAGAAAGAAAGAAGGAGCTCCTACCCTGTGCAAGAGCATGGATGAAACTGGAAAGCATTATGCTAAGTGAAATAAGTCAGGCGGTGAAGGACAAATACCATATGATCTCACCTTTAACAGGAACCTAAACAACAAAACAAAGAAACAAACAAAATATAACCAAAAACACTGAAATATAGAACAGACTGACAGAGTTCAGAGGGGTGAGGAGAGGGAATTTCAGGGGAATTTCAGGGGAAAAGGGGGAGGGTTTACAGGAAGAAGTATAAAGGACACATGTATAAAAATTAGGGGCGGGTGGAAATGGGAGGAAGGAGCGAAGGGCTGAGTAGGTGAATTGGGATGGGAGTAAAAGATAGAAAATTGTACTGTAATAAAAACTAAAATAAAATTTAAAAAATGTAAAAAAAAAGTAACATTGTGTCAAACAAAATTCAGGTGGCTAGATACACTTATTGATTTCAATACAAGTCCCTGGCAAACAGTCAAGCCAATTTTTAAGAAAAATTTCCATCTGACTTTATTTTCAAGTACACTTAAACAACAACAGCATACTTTCTGTGGGGATCACAAATATCAGTATTAGCAAATCTAAATGTAATTTTACAAAAATTATTATACATTATTTGGGGTAGATATATTTATTTTTTGGTAATATATATTAAGTGGCACTAATTACACTATAACTGTAAGGTAACTAACATGAAACCACAGAACTGTAACTTTGCTACAGCTGCATGGACTTGGGCCTTTTCTGGATGAACACATTTTGAAAAAACTGGATGCCCACTCCAGTGCTATGCCAATGAAATCTGTTCAGAAGTAAAGTTCTCTAGTGGGGACTCACCAGTGTACCTTGCAGCTGACAGATGGCAGGCAAGATAAGTCAGTTATGAAGTAGTTACAGACTAATTCACAAAAGTTACCATTACTGTTTCTAGAAAGAAGCAAGAAGTTAAGAAATTCCTTGAACTAGAAAGGCGTTAGAAGGACCCTGGCAGGTCAGGTAGGTGGGACATCGGTAATAATTATGGCTGGCTTCTACACACCAGTAGCAAAATACTCCTGATTGTGATCTTAGGCAAATTATAGATAAATGAAAAAGGCCAATAATCATATCCTAAGAGTAATAAAAAGAACTTCAAAATAAACCACATGATGGTTGTACTTGCAGCAGGGTTTCACAAGGCAAGGCACCCAGATTTTTTTCTTCCCAAGTCTGGCGTAGAGAGCAGCTCTTGTGTCCATTTTAAAAACCTCCCTCACTCCATCTTTGGTCTTTACTGATGAACATTCCATGTATCTAAAAGCACCAATCCTGTTTGCCCTATCTCTGCCTTCCTCCGATTTGACTGGCTCCTGCTTCATCTTGACTAACTCCCACCTTGTGTGTTCATCATTCCAAAGATCCTCCTTGTTCCCAACCAGGATGATGGGCATGCTGGGACAGAAATGCCTGACTTCCAGAGTCCATTTTTTATGGGACGTTTTCTAAACTATCAGGGCTGTCAATGGAGAAACACGTCAGTATAACATCAATGTCTGGGTAGGAGAGAAGCCTCAAGTGATCATAAAAACACAACTAAAAGTAATGAGCATGCAAGTCTTGCCAAAGGTTCCACCATCAACCATCACCAATTTCTTCCAGAAGGTAGCCATTATTTACAAATGTGCTGCCATCCACCTATATGGCAGAAGTTTTACAAAGTGCCTTGAATTTCTGATAAAAGGCTTCTGGGCAACGCTCTGGCTCCCACCTCTCTGCACTGAGGATGCCTGTCAGTGAGTCACAAGCTTGGAGACTAGGGTGGGTGACTGAAGAGGGTGTGGCAGACTAAAGAGAGAACCCACAGAAGATGGTAGGTGGAGGGTAGGGAGTGAGAGGGAGCAAGGATGGGGGGCAGTGGGCCAGGAAAGCTAATTTTATTTACACTGTTTGAAAAGGAAAAAAATGAATCTGAACAGGTAACAGTTATAATGAGCACAAACGTAAGAAGCCCTTTAAACTTAAATGTATGAGTATTCTCTCAAAAGGCATTAAGATGTTGCCCTAATAGTGGAAGTTAATGTGGAAATTGCAAATAAATTCTTTTTTAAGCTCTTAATACCCATTTAGTCAGTCCATGTGCTTCCAAATTTTCGGTACAGGAATTCTGCACATTAATAAAATATATATTCACTTTCAAGTTAAAATGTTAGTGTTCCAATATTTAAAACTATTTTCTACTAGACTTCTAATAACTAAGACAATAATGAAAAAATGTGGATAATGTACACTTAAAATTCTGTCTTTATCACAGACATCTCTTTATGTTCTAACATTTTAAGAAAATATTTCCTACTAGACTTCTAATAACTAAGGCAATAATGAAAAAAATATTATCGATAATGGTCACTTAAAATTCTCTATTATATACATGTAAGTCTGTGCCACCATTTACTAGAAAATGCTAATAAAAATCTAAGAGACAAGTCCTGCTTCTGACTGTGTAAATGTGCTGATATATTAGTGAGGATATGATTTTTCACACTCTGGCCTTTTGATGAAACGCCTTCCCAATGCCAGAGTGTCATCTTATCCTACAATTTCACACATCAGCTGCCAGGGCATCTATCTGAGAGCCCAGTTTCACATTGCACTAATGAGTCAACACCTGTTAAGAGTAGAGAAATCTGAACCTTGTTAGCGATTGTAAAGCCTCCTGGGAGTTTGGATGCTGAGCATTGTCATACTCACCGCCAGCATGTCTGTACTGAGAACCCTGGCAGCAGCCATGATAAAGTCCCCTACCAGCATTGAGAAGCCAGGCAAACCCAGTGAAAAAAAACGAGGTGGACAGTGCCTTATAATGGTATTTAAGATATCCTAAAAGGGAGAGAAAAAAACACAACTGTAATTTTCAATAACAGAATTGTAAAAGAGTCAATTAGTCTCTACATGGCCACTGTAAGATAATCTAAGTGTACACAGATCACAGAAAGTTCTCAGTAAAGGGGGTACTCAGAGATGAGTTAGTCCAAGGGCTATTGTATCCATTTTACATATAAGAGAATGGGGATACTAAACTGTAAGATGACTTGTCCAAAATTGAAATTGTGGCATTGGGCCTAGACACTTCTTATGCCTTCCTCCTAAAGGTGAGCTCTCTGGACAAGCTACAGAAGTGTTAAGGTAAATATACAAATAAAACCTTTGAACATCTATCACTTACCATATTCTTCAATTTCCATAAGTTAACATACTGTTACATTAAAAATTCTTAAAGCAGGCAAAAAGATGGAAATTTTTACTCTTCAGGTAATTTCATGGGTTACACAATAGGAATGCATGGAGTGCTACAGTAGTATTGTGACTGGTCATATTCTAAGGTCAGGCAGTTGGTGTGGCTCTGAGTATAAGTGTGATTGTGAGGTCTAAGTACAAAGTGCAGCAGTAGCCTTTTTTCACAGTGTGCAGTGTGAAGAACACCAACTGCCCAGACACCTGGTATTCCTGGTTGGAATAGCCTCTCACTGTTGAGTGGCTGGCTAGCTGGCCCCTGCCCACCAGCTCTGTTCTGAGGCAGTCACCCATTCAACCTGTGGCAGACCAGACCAGGATTCCACTGGACAGCATTCATGCCCCCGTGGTCAGGCCACATCTATGAAACCATTTGTGTAAGTGTGTATGCACAAGGGGGGTCATTAAGAAAACCAAAAACTACTTTTATGTAGTTCTAGGCAATGCACATTAATCAAACAGGCTAACATACCATAGCTATGTTACTGATAGTTGTACAACCTACAGTGAGTCTCAAAATAAAAAAAAGCAAAATATAAAAAATAATTTATTTTCTCAGATTTCAGTGTGGCTGTTTCAAAAATCCTGCAAAATAATCTCAATTTAATTTGATTAAATTAGAGCATAGTAGTAGCAACATGCTGAATTCTAACATAAGTGTTCTGTAATCAAAATAACCTCACTTCTTATATAAAAAGAGAATTTTTGTGTTCATAAAAGACTTATTTCTTTTCCTTACATACTGGATTCATTTTGTTTCTACAAATTTTACTGTTTATATGCTCAAATCAACTGTCCAATGCTTACTCTATTACAGCTCATATATGGTAAATAGTTCAGGAAGTCCTAATTTAAAGTTTTAGAATTTCAGCAGACTTTCACCTGTACATAAAAATAAATATACAGATAAATAGATAGACAGATAAAATGAAGGAAGGAAGGAAGGAAAGAAAAACCTGAAACACTTCTTCCAAGTTAATGTTTAAACCTGCTTTAATCACATCCTTTGATACACTTTAGGGTCCTTATCAGCCAAGGCAAACATTCTAAAGGGCTTAGCAGATGGATGCTGCAGTTTAAAAAGTGTGTGGTAAACTCATGCTCCAAGAGGAACAAAAGATCCACCTTCTTCATAATTAAGCCTCTGATTAATGCCCTGGGCTCCCCACCACACACCTGTAATTACTCACAGAGGTACGCATTGTGCTGGGCCTTGTCTCAGAATATCAAGCATCAAGCTATCCAGCAGCAGATGGAAGCACATTTTTGTTGACATATGCTGCAATGAAAGGATTCATGCAAACCTGGCTAGCAAGGTAGCAAAATGCCATGCATTTGAAGATTAATAATGCAAACAACCATGTTAACTTTATTATGTTTATAGTGTTAATTCCATCTGTTGAGATGAGGAACTAAGCCTTGAACACTATAGATTTTTAATATCTTTAGCCCATACTTAACTCAAATAAGCCATTTCACAACTGGAATTCAGAATTTTAATTTAAAAATGTTTTTCTGGGATAAGTTCATGGTAATTATGAATGAAATCCTTTAATAAGCTAAAGCCAAAATTTGTAAAAGAAATTCATTTTGCTTTATGAGATTCATATGTGCACAAGCAATGATCTGTAAATGGGGCATTCACAAAAAATTACTGAGTTGGCACTGATACTAAAGACAGCAGAAATGCACATAGCCAAGGTAAAGTCACACAGTTCCCCGTACCCCTGGACCTTGGCCAGTCACTTCAATGGAACCTGTTTCTATGGGTAAGAAGATTGGAAAGAGAGAGCAAAATAACAGATGGCTAGCCTACCATATCCTGCCACCCACATAAGACAGAGCCCCAAGGAGAAGCAGGGCCTGTGCTGCTGAGGTCAGTTAAAGACAGCATTGGAGTAAATTAATGTGTGAGTTAAACAGGGAAATATACGGCCAATCTGCCAAATTATGGCCATGTGCCTGCTCATTTTGCTTATCTACACTGAAGTGGAACAACCCAAAGATTTTATCTTTGTGGTTAACATTTTAAAATTAGGAATAACTGTGTGGTACTCAAGAGAGCTGTATATTCTGAATAGAGAGACATCCAAAAATATGTTCCACTCACTTCTAGTAGACTCCTTCTTTCACCTTCCCCTTGATACATCAAGATCATAGCTATAAATGGAATCCTTGGAAAAATAAAAATCTTGAGACTCTGAAGTTTTCTTCACAGTCGCCAGGGCTTTATATATAGACAGCACAGAACACTGCTTCCCAAATGCCTATTATTCATGTACAATCTCATGCTATTGTCATATCCACATCCAAAGTGAATATTATTTGTCCATTTTCAAAGTACTTTTTTGAACTTAAATAAAATTATTCTAGAAAGCTAGTATCCTGTGTGGTAAGCAGGAAATACCCAGGAGAGTCAAAGGACTAGAAAGAGGCCATTATTCCCACTGTGTGATTTGAGGCTATTCAGTGCCACCTCCATTGTGACCACCTGTGGGAAATGTCTCTCTAGAACTGAGACGAGGCCTGGGTTCAAGGCCTAGTATATGTGATCATGGGCAGATCATGTCATGCCTAGAGCTTCATATTTCTCTCCCACAAAATGGGATGATTTCCTTTTACAGAGCTGTGATCTAATGGTATGAAAGATGTGAACACATGCCTCTATAAGCGACGCCATATAAGCGACAAGTAAAGAGTGACAAGTAAAAATTTTTTTAAAAAAACAAGGACTATGAAAGATTTTACTTTACAGAATTTACTTTGCAGAATTCTATGAACTACTGTTTTGATGACATTCAGAAAGAACATTAAAAAACATTTCAAAGGTGGCACAGATAATTGTCTTAGATTATATTATCCCAGAAATTAAAAAACTCTAGACATCAATGCTTTCAAGTAATATCCTTAGCAAAGCATTACAACTATTACCCATCTGTTTGCGGTAAGTGAAAGAAAAACAGGAAAATGATCTTTATGTATTTTCTAGGTTCCATTCTTCTATTTACCCCATACAAGTGATTCCAGTAGCAAAACATTAGTTTATTTTTCATACTCCAAGCAGATTAAAAAATAATACACTAAACAATAAGCTCAATGAAAAATAGGAATTGTTTACTCTTGAAAATTCATCAGTTTAAAACATAGACAAAACCCTTTCACAAGCTTTTCTTCAAGGGAAATAAAACACATTTTTCAGAATGCTGTCATATAGTAAACAGGCCACAAAACGAGTATTTTTCTCTTGATTTTGGTTGAAAGTCCATAAACATGCTACACACTGAGTGTGAAAACTAGACTGTAAAATGATAATTGTGAATTTTCAGCTTATCAAAAGATTTAGGTTTATGAGAAAGTAACTGGTGAGAACATCTGTCTTTTATCACTGATCTTACAAAAAATCAGGTAATTCAAACAGAGGCGTGTTGTTTCCTCTCTTCCAAAGCACAGTTCTATAAACACAAACCACATTCGGCCTGGTAAATGAATCGCTTTAATTGAATGCTATGTACACAGTAACTGGAAAAACCGTAAGTGATAAGAAAAAACATATGGTGATGGCAGCAGAAATTGGTTTATTCATTTTACATACTGTTGTTTCTTTAGTTCTCTTATAATTGACCTTTAGAATGATAAATGTGTAAAATAATTTTGTTTATTATGGTCCCAAACCTTCCAACAATTACACAAAATGAGAATTTTAAAAGGAAAGATTCATTCCTGAAGCATTTCCATTGTTTACATAATTGCACAGCTATAATTTAGTGTTCATGTTGTTATGGAATATAAAAAAAAAGGCCATTACAGGCCATTTCAATTCAAAATATCACACTGTGGTGTCAAAAATGAGGCAAAATGTTGACTTTAAAATAGTTTCAAATGGATTACCCCATAAACAAAAAGCATTTCAAAATAGTATTCTATGAAACACAAATGTTCAAGAAGTCCCATCCTTTAAACAGAATTAGAAATGTTGCAACTGTACTTTCACACCAATTACATATATATTATTCACTTAATATTTGCTCATGGCCCAGCAGATGATGGCTGTAACATAATAGCCAGCCATCTGTCTCCCAGGCTTTTCTTAGGGAACTCACGCCTGCTTCTCAGGAGCAAACAGATCCGGTTATTCCACCTAAAGTCATTCAGACCTTCCAGGAGGCCAAAGAGAATTGTTAGGAAATAAAATCTATGCATGCAAAAATCACTGAACTCCTCCTTGAACTTTTTAAGAAAACTGAAAATGCTACAGAATTAATAAATTCATCATTTTTTCAGATAAGATACCTGTCTTTTATCTAGAAATTCTATATGAAGCTCTTGTTTGGTCATATGGGTAATGTTCAGATCTGCTTATTCCATTAATCTAGTTAATAAAAATGTATGACTCATTCCACACCCAAGTGGAATTACTAATTATCAAAAACTTTGAATGGAAAGTGATATTTTTAACACTAAACCTGGACACAGTTTAAGTTTTCTTTAACAATTCAAAAGGCAGCCATAATCCTGCAGTACCTAGAGAGCACACTTCTAGGTATCAATTATGGCCCTACTGGCAAAGTTCAGAAATGCTCAGTGAC